TTCAGGTATATGCTGATAACCACAAGGGAAGAAGAAGAAAACACGGTTCCTAAGCGCTGTAATTCACATCTTTCAGGGGTGAGTACAGACTAGAGAGAGTAATACAAATCAAGGTGTATATATACAGAGGAGGGTGAGACCAGGTCCACAATGGTCAGGTATTAGGTAATGACCCTACTAATCTTTAAATAGCACACAACGGTTGGTGGTCAGGTCAGATGGTCAAGTGACCCGGCCTTCTCACCTGATCACAAATCTTCTTAATTACCCCGCTTTACACGGTTTCACTTTCCGTGGTTTCTCATTTACGCGGTACCTTGCCAGAACCGGACTTTCACTTTCCGCGGTGCATCTACTCATATACGCGTGAAGTATAATTTCTTTTTTTTTATTTAGCTCATAAAATTCATACAAATTACCCGGCCAGAATATAATTTACATTGCTGGAATTCTTACAATATGATGATCAATTTGAATATAAACATCATGGATTTTGCATTAGAAATACAAATTTTAGATCTAATGTAATAATTTGGTTTACCGTATATCTCGGCTTATAAGACGGAATTTGAACATTAAAAAAATCTGCCCAAAGTTAGGGGGTTGTCTTAATCACCAAGTATAAAATTCTTCCCTCTTAAATATTGTGGTTTAGTGTGTCAAGAGTGGTGATGGAAACATCGTAAGCCACTCACAAGGCCCTACCACTAATTATTTTATACTGAAACTTATGTTTGGCAAGCTGGATTCAAATTAAGATTACTGGTATATTAAAATAATAAAAATGTATTATAAACCTGTCTAACATACCATAAAAGAACAATATACCCCTGTAATAAACACAGCTATCATCACACACCCCTCCCCACGCCCCCTCCATTTGCCAGTGAGGAGACAAGAAAGGAAAAGTGACCGCGAGATTGGGCTATTTTTAGCCGTGGAGGTGGTCAGTAATGCATATCGGTATATTTACTGATAATAATACTTATCTCCAATAAATAATTAATTTAAAATTTATTTTTTTACAAAGAATATTCAGTAAATGACTGCATTAATTCTTGAAACTACCGACAGTTAAATACAGACGCTTAATTGACGTCACTAGTGTTTACACTACACCAGCCGGTAACATTTGATGCCATTACTTGAAGTGAATTGGCCTTATTTTAAGTAACTAACCATAAATAAATACAAAAATTAAAAAAAAAGATCAAAAGTGAAAAATAATATACTGTATGTACAGTGGGGTATGCTATAACGAACGGATTCTACTACGAATATTCCAATAACGAACGGTTTTACCTATAAAATTGAGAATGCTATAACGAACGAAACTCCTACAACGAACATTATTTAAATTTTTTTTTTTTTTTTTTTTACTAATTTATTGTTTTTTTATTACAAGTATTAATGATATTGGTTATTTCAGAGGTTTAGATGCATATTTATGCACTTTTTTACAATTTTTACAATTTTATATTATATTTTTCAGTGTTAAGTGGTTGTATTTGGGGGCCTGGAACGGATTAATCCTATAACGAACGAATGCTATAACGAACAAGGTTCTAGAACCAATTAGATTCGTTATAGCATACCCCACTGTATGTTGTGTTGTCAAAGTAAGAGGAACAATTGAAACTGCAATTGTGTGTAAATGAGGCAGAAAGTCAGGTCAGCAACTTGGGACTTGGGCACAATTTTCATGAAGCCATGTGGCAGCAGGGTCTACCATTAGACAACACATTATGCTTCCAATATCTTCCCAGGCGGTAGTATCTACCTGTTTGGTAGCTGCCTACTACCTACACAATTTTTAGTAATATTACTTTGATACATGATAAATTAGACAAACAATGAAAATAAACATCAAATTTAATTACAGTTGTACCCCACTTAACGCGGTCAATAGAACCCAGAGGGTCCCGTGTTATGAACTGTACAAGTATGAACAAATAAGAAATATGATTAATCAATAGAAAACCAAACAAAGCCCTCGGACTCTAAACCTAATTTTGACATAACTATATGTAGTAAAAAATTTATCTTAACTTTATGATGGTATGAAAACAAGCATTATAGAAGAGGTTGGGTTAGAAAATAAAGGTTAACATAGGAAAAATGAAGGTTACGTTAGAGAAAACCAAAAGTTAGTGGAACACTTACGGTAGTAGAAGAGATGTAATGGCATACGATGGAGGCTGGTTCCGAAAAGCAGAGGGCAGAGATTACTGCCCCAGGTGAATCACCATTACCAGGGTGAACTACCATCACTGAACAATAACATTTAAAGCTGTCAGGCTTCCTGACAAACTCTCACAAAGCTCAACTTCACTGTCACTCATCACTGGCTTGGGCTGGCTGTGGTAAGGCTGGGCGGGCTAAGAACTCAAGCAGCTTTTTTGACGCTGGTGTTTATAAGAAGTCATGATACAATCGCGGATGCACGGCCCATAGCCTGCACCAGCCGGTACATGGAAGACTTGCAGCGTGTCATCGCCATTGTCGCGAAAGGACGATTCTAATTTTCTCTGCAAACCTATGACACTTATCACCAGTGACTTAAAACCAGTTCTCTGAGAATGATTACCTCTTTCCTCCCTCTTCACTGGCGTGTCTTTTCTTCCAACATCTCGCCAGCAGTCACTTAGATCTCTATATCACCCAGGATGTCTTCGCGGTGGTCTCGGAGAAGCTCTCTTCACAGCTGTAATATTGAGCTAGCTTGGCAAGGCCCATCAAGCACAAACAGTCTGAACTCTACCAGTCAGATCCGTTATTCCTCCTCTCACCTGGCATGCCATGGCAACACACATGTCTCCATATGTGACGGTAATCGTGAGTACAGTCAGCAAAGATCCCATGCCCACCAAAGAAGTTCAAGGAAGCTATTTAATGCTAAACTTTTTCCAAAATTGCCTGACCTAGGTTCTTGAGTCACCACCTCTTGTTCCTGTCCTCGCCGCTTTGCTCTCGCTGTTGGTGTCACCTAGCTACGCATCCATCCTTGGTGTTGGTAGAGTCGCCCAGGAGCTGAACTTCTTTGCAGAATACGCAGCTAAGACATTGCAGGATCAACTCTGGGTCCATGGCTGGATTAATGACGAAAAGGAGGAAAGGAAGACCACTACGCCAGCAGACGATCCATAAGTAGGGCAGTGTCCAGGTACGTTGTCAAGGAGCAAATAAAATATTGAATGAAAGCCATTCTGTTGCTCGCAGGAATTTCTTCACGCCGAACAAACAGTTGTCAAACCAGAAGAGGATGCAGGAAGAGGACATCCACGCCCACGCATGGCTACAGCCAGTGACATTGCTTCTTGTTCATGTCCATATTCTTGTAGAAAAGGCGCGGTTTGCGGGCCAGTGAATCACCAATAACTTTGCTTCATGGTACCGGAGGCATTGCAGGTAAACAGGACGGTGATGCCTTTCTGCAAACTTCCCACCCCTACCTTGCTGCCAAGACTGACAACGGAAGGTCTTGGAAGCCAACTTTTCCAGAAAAGACCAGGAGCCTGTCCATGTTAACACCTGGTCGCCGTGTACTGTCCTTCCTCCATAATCTCACGAAGAACAGAGGAAAATCTCTAGCCGCCACGGTCATCAGCATCGCTTTCTCACCACCAACAAGTTGATGTTGGTGATCTTGTTCTCTTTCTAAACCTATGCAGCCAAATCTGAGGAAGTATTGAAGGGTTTGGGTTTCTGCATTCCCCAGCTTACGTGACACTGCTGCGAGTAAAGCCACACGGCGCATTTCCTGCACTGCTGAGCGCGGTCTACCGCCATAAGCAGGGCCAGCGCCTTCGACGCAACCAAATATCAACTCACATTTACCTCCCTTGCCAGCACCCTGTTCTGGCAATACCTGATAGACGAAGCACCTTATTCCCTTGTGATTTTCATGTGCTCTTTTGATCTTGCTGCATCCTTGATCAAAGACAATCGAGATTCGTTGACGCGATGCTGGCGCCATGAGATCAACTTGTTGTGAAATTCTTTCTCCAAATCTTGAACAATTTGGTCACCAGAGCTTACGGAGTCGTGGCCTTCAGCCAGGTGCCGCTGGGTCCAGGTAAGGAAAGGCCCTGGTATGTGTGGTGAACCGGGCGGAAGCCATTTTACGAACAATGGATGCGGGGTTTACACGGTGTGGCCTTGAGGGACAGAAATCACGCCAGGGTCAAGCATCGCTCTCCTCCGCCTCCTCTCTCCCCGTGTCACGCCACAATACTTAAGCCAATTACAGCACAGCAAGAGGAGGTGCAGGGATGCATGGGCCAATCACAGTCCGATACGCCATATAGACGCCAGCAGATAACGCAACAAAGACAGACACACTGGCAAGAACTCAACAAGGCCGCTTGCCCAAGTGGAGGGAGGAGGAGGGAGAGGCAGGGCAGGTGCATGGGCGGTGGCGCGGTAAATTCCAAAATAGCTGCTCGAGCCGTGGACACTCACCGCTACAGAGTGATGAAAATCAAGGTTAAGTGAAAAAGTCTGATTTCATGAAAACTGCCAAAGATATGAGCAAAAAACGCGCTAAGTGAAACCGCGTTAGGCGGGGTAATACTGTACCAAAACGCTTCCCATTGGCAGCTGTAAGAGGGCGAGATGGGCTATTTTTATCCCGTCTTTGTGTCTGAAGTGGCCAGGAATACCATATATTTACTGATCATAATAGTTATCTCCTATAAATAATCAATTTAAAATTATTTTTTTTACATAAAATATTCAGTAAATGACTCTTTTAATTCTTGAAACTACCTACAGTGGTAAATTTAGGATGGCAATGATGAAGAAGAAGTCAGGTCATCTGATTCGGAGTTTGATTCTTAATGATTACCATATATGTGTAAGGTGACCACGTCAGGTCATGTTATATATCCCCAAACGTGATACCCCTTCTCTCATTTGCCTTGTCCAGTTGTTGAGTTATCACTCCATAAGCAATAGCACTCTCTCCATGTGAACACTCCGGTATATTAATATCCAGCTACCATAAAACCTCACCATGGCTCCAATTGTTAAATGCAGGAGATATGAAGCTTGTTTTAAGCTGAAAGTGATAGCATATGCCCAGTCACACAACAATTGTGCTGCTTCAAGAGAATACGGTGTAACTGAGAAGATGGTGCGGGATTGGAGATCAAAGGAACACTTGCTACGAAGTATGCCCAGGAATAAATGTGCAATGAGAAGAGGCACTGCACACTGGCCGATTCTAGAGAAGCACGCAGTAGACATGGTCCATGAGCAGCATCAAAATGGATATATTGTATCAAGAAACATGATACGTATTTGGGCACTTAAGTGGGCTAAACAAAATCAAGAGCACAGCAAAGACTTCAAAGCCACGGCTTCATGGTGTAGTCGTTTTATGGAAAGAAGCAATCTGGTACTGAGGCAGAAGACAAAAATAACGCAAAAATTACCAGCAGATCTTAACTGTAAAATTCTTAATTTCCATCGCTACATAATACAACAACGTAAGAAACATTGTTATCCATTAAGCAACATCGGGAACATGGATGAAACACCTATGAACTTCGACATGGTCGGTAATCATACTGTTGATGCAAAGGGTGCAAAAACAGTGTTAGTGAAAACAACAGGACACGAAAAGACACGGTTTACAGTAGTACTTTCATGCATGGCAGACGGAACCAAGTTGAACCCAATGCTAATTCTCAAGAGGAAAACAATGCCCAAAATCAAGTTCCCGGCTGGAGTTTTTGTTCACGTCAACGAGAAAGGGTGGATGGACGAACAAGGATTGATCATATGGATTGATCATATATGGTGTAGGCGACCTGGTGGCTTTCGAAAACAGCGTAGCCTCTTAGTATGGGATATGTTCGCGAGTCATTTAACAGAGGGAACAAAAACCAGTATGGCGAGGAACAACAGTGACATTGCAGTTATTCCTGGTGGATTAACGTCAGTTGTACAACCACTTGATGTTTGTCTAAACAAACCATTCAAGGACCGCGTTCGTGAACAATGAAACAAGTGGATGATCAGCGGCAAAAAGTCTTACACGAAAGGTGGGAATATGCGTGCTCCAGAACTGGATGTACTGTGTGATTTTGTTATCAGGCATGGAATGATATTAATGTGGAAACAGTTATCAAGTCTTTTAAAAAGTGTGGAATATCTAATTCAATGGATGGTATGGAGGATGATATGTTGTGGGAGGACGAGGATGAAACAGAAGCCGAAGCCACGTCATCTGATTTGGAGTTTGATCCTTATGATGAAGCAGCCATAAATGTATCTCAGGATGTACTTGAAGAACTTATGATATCAGATGTTGATGATGTGGATTTTGAAGGTTTTTAATACATGATGACGTTAGTAATAATCATGTGCTAATAACATTTTTAACTTGACGGGTAATTTGCTTTTAAAACATTGTGAATTAGTAAATTAAATGTGTGCATGTGTATATATGTATACATACAGTAGTGATTTCTGCTATAACGCGTGTTTTGATAACGCGAATTTGCTCTAACGCGATTTATGAATTAGGAACGATATTTGTATAACGCGAACGCTTGTTTGCTATAACGCGATTTTTGCTTACTATTTCTCCAATTTTGTGGTACAGTGGGGTATGCTATAACGAATCTAATTGGTTCTAGAACCTTGTTCGTTATAGCATTCGTTCGTTATAGGATTAATCCGTTCCAGGCCCCCAAATACAACCACTTAACACTGAAAAATATAATATAAAATTGTAAAAATTGTAAAAAAGTGCATAAAGATGCATCTAAACCCTGAAATAATGAATAACATTAATATTTGTAATAAAAAAACAATAAATTAGAAAAAAAAAAAAATTAAATAACGTTCGTTGTAGGAGTTTCGTTCGTTATAGCATTCTCAATTTTATAGGTAAAACCGTTCGTTATAGGAATATTCGTAGTAGAATCCGTTCGTTATAGCATACCCCACTGTATTAACTGTGAATATAGTAAAGAAGAAAATCAACAAGAAGCGTTCTGGTGATAGAATTCCTGGTGATGATCGTAAAAGAAAGGATATAACACTTGAAGAGAAGCTCGATTTTATCAACCTCAAAATCACCCTTCTCCCCCATCAACTAAAGTGTTACATTTACTGTATGATTTCATTATTAGATATGAATGTAACATTTATTTAGACTGTGTTATCCTTTGTGTTAGGCTAACTACTAAATTTTTTCGATTTCGAGTAATCTGCACCTAACCCTATTTTCTCCATAAGCCCTGTTATTTCTATTACGCGATTTTCTATAACACGATATTTTACAAGAACACAATTATCGCGTTATAGCAGAACTACCTGTATGTAAATATGTTTGTGTAATAAATGTATGTAGAAAGTACGTAATATTTTTTCACTCAAATCCTAATGAAGCACTACTGGAGAACATTCCTTTGTTGCAAAACAAGTTTGTAAATTAAAGAAAATAATTACAGTGTGTTTAATATATTACAGTATATTATAAATAAATAA